CTGGAGACGCCGGATTCTTGCCTTGGTTTAAGCCTGTGCCAACAGCCTAAGGAAACGCAGCAGGTTCATAGTCTGAGAATTCCAGTTTAATGCAGGGAGCTGGGGGCTGGCGAAACCACAAGATGCTCAGCTGTGTTACCCAAAATCTGAGTCAGAGGGCATTTATAAGCCAGCTACCAAGCAGCGGCAGCTGTCTCCTCCTCCTCCCCCTGCCCCCACACCCTCCCACTGTGCCATCAGATGTACACCTCGCACACACACGCCGCTCCCGGCTCTTCAAGCGGGCGCTGCAGCGACTCCAGCCCATCACGTTATCCCTCACGTGCGGCTCCAGCCATCCCAGACAGCCTTCCTGGCCTCCTTTTCCCACATCCACATCCCGTGCTGCTCGTCTGCCCAGCGGCTACACAGGATGCAGGTCACTGCCACTGCTCGAGGTAGGACCCACGCCTTCACCCCGTGGCGATTTGGGAAGCATCAGCACTCCCAGCAAGGGAGCTGAAGCACTGCAGTCAGGAGGAAAGCAGCTAAAACCAGAGCCTGCCAGCAACGTGCTGCCTTCCCCTTCGCCAGTGCAGCCTCCCCCACAGCACTTCCCCAGGAGAGCAGCCACCAGGGTGTTTTTCTACTCCCCAAGTAGTAACTAGTACAAGCTGTAGTGCCAGTTCCACCGTGTTACTATCAAGCACCTGTAACAGCACTGAACATTCCTCCGGGACTATCGCGACATATCTTCAGTGGGGTATTTCGTTGCCTTCGTTCTGCTCAGCCCTAGTTTTCAGCTGGCCTGTTTTAGGCAAGGCCCCAAAAACATCTCTAATGCAGCTGTAGGGAGGAGAGGACAAAGGCACATCACTCAGACAACTCAGTTCCCACAGCAACCATAACTTGCCCATATGAATATGTAATATTTCTGCCTTTATGAAAATGCACAAGCATTGTGCTCTAGCCTGGCTCCCTAGCAGTAGGAGGTTACCTTCCCTTCGGGGACCAGGATCTTGCTAGGTTTGATCTTCAAGACTTAATTCCCACCAAGCTTCATCTTCTGGGAATCATGGACACAACAGACCCAAGTCCCTCATCTAACATCTTGACAAAACCCGTTGGAGAACCAAAGAAAATGGGGAACAAGTTTCTTGGTGACGAAAGCCCTTACTCCACGGCATGCAGCCACATTTTCTCTAACTATTGATGTTTTTCAGGAAAGAAGCCGTTTTATTTAATTGAACCCAATTGGATTCAAGTTCAAGAGATCTGAGTTTCCCCTCTGATGACTTCAATCTACATTACAGGTGAGCTCTGCTGAAGCAAAGAGCAGAATTTGCTTAGGAAAACAGTATTTTTTAATTAGACCTTTTCTCCATCCAAAGCAGAAAGCCAGCACAAGCCTGCTTCCCGTTTAACACTCCCAGCCACACTGCAAGATGGATACAGGTTATCAAGGAAACATGCCAACTTAAAAACCAGAACTTCGACAGGCTTCTGGAATAGTTATTTTCGACTTCAGAGTCTGGAAATTTGTTACAACTGTTGATGGCAGACAAAGTTAGTAGGATACTGGGGCAGGAAGAATTAATTCTCTGCAAAAATTCACTCTGAATAGTCATAACCTCAAGTTATTCCTAAGCAAACATCAACCAAAAGTTCAATAATTTCACTGTGCAACCTGACTCAGACCAAACACTTCGCTGCAGACTTCTCAAAGTGCCGAGATCCAGCGCAAGTCCTTCCAACCTGGATTTTTCCCTGGAGTTTAGGCAAAGGAGTTTCCACACAGGAAGCCAGGCGGGGAGTTGAGCTAGTTAAAAGCAAGCCACAGGGAGGTAGTTTGAAGCCTGGCTCATTTCCCTGATTCAGTAACACGGCGTGGCTGCACCAGTCAGGCAATAGGAAAACAGGAAAATATTCTAGAAAATAACAGCTTAAGCCTGTATGGAAAGAACAAGTAGGGACTGGCACAAGGAGCAGCGATCCACAGACGGGTTAAGGTAGGATGGAGAGAACTGAGCCCAAGTCAGCTGCATCCCGGAGCAGCAGCACCTCTCTGGGCCATCGGACTTCAGTTCTGAAAGGTAACACTTCATTCAAGCGCAAAGTCGTTCAGATGTTTGAGCCTTCTGGACCTAGGCCGCTTACAAAGTCAGTTGGGAAATCCAGCAAATGGGTTTTAGCTTGAGAACTGAGAAAATCCAGTGAAAGAAGACAACAGAATGGTTAAGCAAACAAGCTAGAACCCACTCCAACCACCTCTGCAGCCACAAAGAGACCTCCTTTTCCTCTCTTTTGCTAATTTTGACCAGAATTTGAGCATGGAGGAAGCCCACAAACATGGAGTGTGCAGAGCAGGGGAAGAAGCAGCACAACTCAGCCATAAGCTCTGTTTGCTGACAAAAAAAAAAAATAACAAGATGGACTTGCCTTTGTGTGCAGCAGCCTTGTGGACTAAGTTCTGACCAAGGCTGAACTTCCAAGCCAAATCCAGAGAAGCAAGAGACGTGATGGCCCACACTTCTGCATCCTCGAGATCACAGAGGGGAAGGTGGCTCTCAAAGTTTTGCCTGTCACACCTCTTTATATCTCCATTTTTAAAGGTAGCCCTGAAAATTGCACTTCTTAAGTTTGGCACACAGGGCAAACAAATCTCAAGCAAAAGCTTCAGCCTTGCTCTACCTCGGGCATCCAGTTAACCCCACGTGCTCCAGGCAAGTAAGTACTACATCTTTGGATCTCAACATTTTTGTCCCCTTATCCAAGGCCCCAGACATCAGGTGAGCTGCATTCAGCGCCATCTGGCACACTTCCTCAAGGCAAAGAACAGAGGAATTTAAGTTATAGCAGAGAGGACTTTCTGGGTGGCCAAGCAAGCAATAGGTAATTATCTGACTGCAGTCAAGAGCAAACAGGAAGCCAGTTCAGTCATCAGCTAGTCTGGGTTTGCATCTGTCCTTCAGTTTTCCTTAAATAAAGCAGCCACAGAGAATCATAAGGAGCTGATAGGCCACAACTAGCAAACTCTGACTCGGCACCTAAAACCACTCCCACCTGCAGAAGTCACTTAAAGCATCTCCCATTTCTTCCCAGGGTGGCTCGTCCACTTAAAGCAGAAAACAGCCACCTGATCTCAGTTAAATGAGCAAAGCTTAATGAACGGGCTATCAATGCTGCTGGGACATTTGGGGTTCCTGCGACCCTCTTAAATCCATTTAAGCCAGCACTGCCTTCAGTTTGAAGCCAGGTGTGTGAACATAGAAGCTTGAGGAGGGAGTTTTACTCATTCTTTTGCTTAATTTTTGTCTTCAGGGTCATGATTTCAAAAGCTGGTTTAAGGGGTTTTTGTGTTTGTTTTTGTTTAACAAAATCTGGTAGTAGCACCCTCCACCCAGCAAGGCCCAGCTGCAAAGCCTGGCAAACAAGCCACCTGCTGCCTTAAGAAACTAGTCTTCCTCGCATTCTCATTCAAGATTAGCAACAAATGGACAAGACTGGCTTAAAATTTGAGGGAGAACTATGACATTCCCTGGGAAGCAGCAGCTCAAAGGCAAGCTGCAGTTGAGCCAGTGGGAGATACTGACTCCCTCTGCCATTGCCTCCCCCACATTAAAAACCACTAAAGGTTGTGCTACACAACCTTTCCTAAGACATTTCACCTTCCTTCAGATGACTCTGGCCGTGTGGGATCGAGGAGTGCTGAATAAGCTTGTCCTCTGACATTGCTCAGCCTGCTGCTGTGCCGAGTAAGGTGTCTCCACACGTGTTTTCCCCCCTCATAGCATTAGTGAAAGGTCATGAACTTCTGCCGCCCCTTCACCACATGTAATCCTCTTAATGCTGAAAGGGGCTTCTTAAATACAAGTCCAGTCCAGGATAAATTTAGTTTGACCTGAGGAAGACAACTCAAAAGCCAGAGGGACCACAAATAAATTAAAGTACAAGTATTTCCCCTGCTTGAATAAAATCTCTTTCCCAAGTTCTCCCACCAAAGAGAGTTCAAGTTTTAAAAATAGTCCTTTCACCTGTTACAGCTACAACACTAAGGGTGAACCGCCCAGCTCATTAAGCTCTGAGTTTCATGATAATACATCCCAAATACAATACACAAGACATTCCTCCACCAAGTAAAAGCACCAGAGGCTCATGAATTCTTCAGAAATTCACACCGATCCTGCAGCTTCATCCTGCTCACTCAAAATCATGGCAAACATCTCCAAGAGGGCTCTAAACCATCTGCCCGGCGCAGCAGGCGGTTAGCTGCATTATATTCAAAATTTTAGTAAGCGGCTGTTGAGCCTCACAGCCATCAGGTATGAATTTCCGCCAAAACAAAAAGGCAAAAAAAAAAAAAAGCTGCCACAACCTAGGTGAGCATCCGAGCACCAAAGCGCCTCTCCATTTGTGGATCACAGCTGTCAGCACTGACTTTTTCTGTGGAGAAGATGCTCCTTAGCAACACAACGAACACCAGAAGCAGCTCACGATCCTTTTCTGGTCCAGAGGCAGAAGGAAGCTTTGCAGAACTGCTGCGTTCAGGCCCTTGTTACCTACCAAGAGGTCCTGACTCTGACGCTAACGAAGCACGGCTGGGACTGCAATAACTCTGAACTGCCGATGCACCAGCAGATGCTGACTCATCCACATATTTACAGCTGAAAACTGCTGGCCTGGCCGACGTAGCTCAGGCTGTACTCTATTAGCAGTCTCTTATACAGCCCAGAGGCACTTTCTGAAAAAAAAAAAAATCATGTTTCCACTAGCCTAACTAGCAAGGGCACCCAAGGCAGCCACTTTCTAGCCCCGGCTCAACTCAAGCACAGTTTAACACTACTGAAGATAAATTTGACCTGGTTTCCACCCAAGGCTCCACATCAGGCAAGAAGCCCTCCCTCTAGACGTTTAGGAGAAATATCTCATTGCCAGGTGAACGCCCCAACCCCTCAAAGAAGAGCTCAAGCAGTCTAGAGGACAGCACTGAAAATTAGAATTTATGCACCAGCTCTAAGCTCACACTTCTAGAACCAGAACTAACTCACATCTTCACAGAATCTGCTCTGGTGGGCAGGGATAGCTCCTTTATCAACTGCATTAGCTCTGGTAAGCAAGCAGAAACTTCATTAGGGAGCATTCCCATTCCAAATTAGAAACGGAGTATATGAAGGGCTGTAGCTAAAATTTAGACAAGGCAGCCAGAAACAACTCTTTGACAAACTCACTGCGAGGAGATAAAGGAAAATACTCAGGTTTATTTCTCCTTCATGCTTCCAGTGCGTCAAGATCAGATACAACACTGACTACCACCGTGCCAAGGGACAACAGATGTCTAAACAGCTCAGGACAACAGCAAATCTCTAAAAAACACGCTACTAACCACACCACCACTGACCTGAATTAGTTAATGTTCACTACGCAACTGCTCAGGAGTAGCCGTCACATCCTCCAATACCTCCAATACCGTTTCAGCAGGCACGTTTCAAGCAATGATCCGTACCTCGAAGAGACCGATTCGCTTCCGCTGGTAATTCTGCAGCGCCAGCACAGGATCACATGGCCAGATCAGCCCCGGGTCCAGAGCACTAAGCCCTTCCAATACCCGGGAGATTAAGCCATGCTGGAAGTCATCTGTTAGCAGTCATTCTGCTAGCCCGGAAAAAGTTGCACTCTGTGAGCATCAAACAAACCCAGAAAATGCCCAGACACCCATTTGCTGCCTTTTCCTTTTAATGCTCATTTGATTAAAACTCGGATTATCCACAAGACAACCTCTAGGTGTCTGCAGAGAAAGCTCCTCTGCCTACAGCAGCAGGCAAGGTCATCAGCTGGTGAGATTTTTTTTTGTTTGTTTTGGTTTTTACCCCCCTTCCACTCTCCACTTTGTCTTGGGCCAAGTCCAGAGGGGTCAGTTTGTTTCCAATAACAGCCAAAGTGTTTATTGACCCTGTAAATTCAAAGGCTGGAGGAGCAAGAGAAATAGTTTTCAAGCACCCAAATCCTTGGCACAAGTACCAGTGCAGAGGAGTGCTCTGGCAAGAGGAACACCAGGCACCCAGGCAGGTGCATTTCCTGGCAGATCTTGCCCACTCTAAAGGGACAAAAGCATGTCATTCACTCGCATAGAAATAAAATCAGACCCAATACTCTTTGCTTTGGCACGGAGCCTTCCGTTTTGAGGCAGATTGAGCGCAAGGCAGAATATGCCCACTCCCCTCAGCCTGTAGGCAGTGAGAGCTTGCAGCACTGATTTCATCATCCCAAGCTTGCCTTGCAAGAAAGTCTTCGCCTCCACATACTGCTTTGGTGTGCTCTTAAATACACTGACCTGTAGCAAACATGGCTATTCAAAACGCTTTCCCATTTTTAATATGTGCAGCAGATCAGCTGTACTAACTCTTAACAGATTAATCCTGCCTCCAGGGGAGGCGGACTAAAGGAGTCTGCTGGAACTATCTACGCCAGAAGTTGGTGGGTCAGGCAGTGCGAGCTCGCATCCTGCCCACGCGACGACCGGCAGCATCACCAGGAACACAAGCAAACCCTCCCCAGCATCACTGTGCCGCCAGGGAATACTCCGACTATCTATTTCAGGCACGCAAAACAAAGCTCCCAGTACCAAAACAGTATTAACCCTGAATCCAGCACCACACGCTCGCTAGGCCCCACCAAGCAACTCCTCCCTTCCACCGGCCCCAGATCCTCAAGCTCTCCTCAAACCTGGCTAAAGTCATCACCTGGCAGGACGTCGCGCTTGCTTTTCGTGACAGGCGTGGTGCAGACTCCACTGAAATCCAATGAGTTGTCCAACATCGCATTTATTCGGCGGAATATATCTGCATTGCTGCAGGTGGAAAGCGCAGGGGCATCCGGGCTATCCCAGCAGTCTTTTATGCTCCTCCCAGGATCTTCTTTCTGGTAAAAAAAGAACAAGTATTGGTGTCAGGCAGGCTAGTACTCACCACTCGGCTTTCAACACATAGTCGAAAGTCTGGATCGCCTCCAATATTCACATTAGCTCCAGGTCTTAGCGACACTCCAATACGCTTCTTGGCATTAAAGGGACAGTTAAGCAAACAGGCCAGCAATTTGTCCCCAAAAATCAGCCTCCTGACACCAAGAGACAAGGGGGATGCTCATAGGCAAGGCAGCCATCAAAACCACAATAGCTCCTCTTGTATACCACAGGAGAGAGGAAAGGGAAGGCGGGGAATCAAATCCCCACCTTCCCTTTAGGTAGCAGCTCCTGACTGCAAAGGGAGCTTTTCTCAAACCAGCTCTAACACAACCCTCCATAGGCACTCAGCTGCCAGCATCAAGGTTTTGAGACCCCCCAGAAACAAGCCTTAGCTTTTGTAAAGCTTCCTCTGAGTCAGAAAATAAAAATAAAAATAATAATTAAACCCCTCTGGGTTCCTGGTGCCGACCCAGAGAGCCGGCAAGAGCAGCAGCTTCCCCTCAGCTCTGCCGCAAGCCGATGCCACATCCAGGCTCACCTCGGTGTCTCTGCCAATCTCAAAGCTGCTAAACTTAATCTCTAACCAGCATTTTTGGGCTGAGGACAGGTCTGCCTGCCACCCAAAAAGCCACTGCAGCAGGACTCTGTTCCTGAATGTGCTGAGCTAACGGCATTGCTATCAATTAAGACCCACATTAAAGAGACAAGCAGGAAGGCGCAACCTCGCCAGTCTTGGCCTCCGGAGCAGAATCCTCACCATTAAGCAAATCAAGTTAAGAGCCAAATTCAAAAGAATTGAATCGCAGCAAGGCTGGCAAGCAAGGCCCTGCTACTCCAAGACACACAGAAGCAGCCTATGGCTCTAAGTTGGGCCATTTGTATTTGTCAAGGAGACATTTAATCCATCCACCTTTTGGATGCATTCCCACAAAGGTTTGGGGCCCGACTTCCCCCACGTTTCTTCTCCTGCTTCACCCACCAGCGAGTCTGAAACACTGAGCTGGTTTTACTTTCAAATCCTCCCAGAAACTGAAATTTACACAGACATGGGACTTGCATTTCCCCCTCTGTCATTTTCCTGCCATAACATAGGATGTGATCGCTTTTCTCCGCACAGGAGAGCTTTCCACTGCCCCCACTATTTAGCTAAAAGAAAAAGGAACCCTGTCCTGAAAGCAGCAGGACGGAATCGTCCACTCACCGCACGCCTCCAGGCAGGACGTGAACAAAAGATTCCGGATTTCAGCCCGTTTAAGGCTATTACCATTCATTCAGCGCCGGGTCTGGGATCTTTGTCTACTAAAAGGCTCAGCTCACCCCCAGGTAATGTCCTGCACCGTGCAGGAGGGTTTTTAAAGCCAGGAGCAGAACAGGTAGGGCTGAAAGCAAGATTCAGGCAAGAGGAAACAGGCAGAGCAAGCTTTCTAAAAAGCAGCCGAGGAGTATGGAAGCTCAGTTTACAAAAACGCTGCCAGTTTTCTTTAATAAAAAGTGCCACATCAGGCTGCTTCAGCACAAGCGTGAAACTCCACACTCTCCTCCTGTAACTGTCTCAAGAACCACTTATGGCAGGAGGCAAAGCTTTTTCCCTGGGAGTTTGTGCTAGCAGGACAAAAATAAACCCGAGCAGCAAACCGACCGCCTGACCTGTTCCTGCTCATTTAGCATCTGACGCTTCCCACAACTGGCAGCACCGGTCCTGCTGCAAGAAGACAAAACAGCTAAGGGCATGGGCAAGCATTTCCACAAAAATTCCTTCCACTTACAGAGCTAGCAACATTAAGACTGTCAAGGATATCCTAGAGGATACTACATGAATCCAGGATGCAGGAGCTGGCATCTAACTCCTCGTAGGAGGGCCCAAACCATTCGGCAGCCTGGTGGAAAGGAGCTTCCACTCCCTCAGAGTAACCAAAAGATGACTGAAGAGCCTTACCACCATGGTAGAGAGCTCTCGTTTGCTGGTTCCACGTCGAGAAGCTGAAGCCCAGTGGCTGTCTGGAGTTCCCAGCCCCATCAGGCACCCAGCAAACCCCACAGCGGCTCAGTTGGTGATACCAGCACACACTTGTGTGGCAAAACCCACCTAAGGTGTTCAAGGTAAGTGGAAACGAAGGCACCTCCACAGCCCCCAAGCAGACACACCTGCAGGGAAGCTACAAGATAATGAATCCCAAGGCTAGGCAGAACCTGCAACATCACAACAGCGCTGGCACAGGATTAGGCTATCCGAATCCTTAGGGAAGTCATTAAATGCAGCTCAGCTGCCGGTACGGCCACTCCGTGCTCCTGGGGATCCTCCAGAGCGGACAAGGCTAGTCCACCACCTCAGCTACAACTCAACCTCTGCTTTTTATGTGGTTTGTAGAAATCTCACCAGGGCAGCACCACACGGGTGCCCAAAGGGGTTCTCGGCACCATAGCTACAGCCAAGAGGGCCTTAAATCCTGAGGCAAAATTTAAGATGCTGTTAAAATAGCATTGGTCTCAACACAGTCGAGCCAAGACCACTTCATATTTTGGCCAAAGGCAGCTCTAAAAGCCCCTTTTTTTGTGCGTTTTGTTTTACTTCCCAAGGTGAAGTCTGCTGTACAGCGTAATATCAGTGTAGCCATTCCTACCAAGCAACACCACTAACAAAAGTGATAAGCTCGCACCCCCAACTCATCCCAAACAGGGGTTTTCACTGTATTAACTTACAAGCGAGCACTGCCTTCATAACAACAACGCTTTTGCCAAAACTCCTGTTTTTAAGGAAGCTCCCCTGTTGAGGCAGCTCCTTTCTGAGGAGCAGGATGCTTCAAAGCTGTCACCCAAGCAGCTTTGGAAACAAGCAAAATCACAGCTACCTGTTTCTGCACATTATCAACACAGAATAAGGGTTTAATTTGTTTACAGGAGACTGTTCCAGTCAAGATAAAACCACAGCAAAGCACCAGCATCCTGAAACTCCTCAGGAAAACTCACCTCTAGCCAGAGACCCTCACCAATGCGCATATGTGGTTCACCTATCCTGAAAGCAGCTACAACGAGTGTTAATTGGTTTTAGGTGGGGAATACTGAAAGGTTAAAAAAAACCCCAACCGCCTAAGAACCTGTTTTTTCAGACTTGTCTCTCCCCC